CCCCCACCAACAGTCTCTCAGCACGTGACACTTGCTTCTCTGGGTAGAGAGCCACCTCAAGGGCTAACAGTCATTTAAACCTTCTGCTGCCCATCCTCGCAGATCTAAATTTCCCCTCAAGTTGTCTGATGTTTTCTATTTATTTCAGCTCGCAAACACCCAAGTCTAAGAAGGAAACGCCTTCTTCCTGCACCGCAGCATTAGAGCTACAACATTTAGGGATCAGCCCATCATCATGCCAAGCACACAGTGTCACGTAACATGATATCTTCATCAGATGCGTTACAAACAAAGTGACAACCATAATGAAGCTTTGGACTTCATCCTTTATAGTAACACTCTGGCACCGACAGGGAAATTAGATGTCGAGGTCTGTTTTCAAGGAGCCTTATAAGGAGCGGCAAGCAGAGCGCAAGTAGGTTTTGTTTCCTCTGCTAGATTATATGGACTCGCTGAAGCATAATGCGTACTGCATCAGAGCCAGCAGAGGCTTATCATGCGTGCCAAGCACAAGGGAAGAGTCCTGTTCCGGTTTAGCAAAATGGTGTTTTATATGATGACCTCCAAGGGTATCATTGCAGGAGGCACCTAAGCAGGCCTGGGAACACTCTGAAAAGCAAAGCCCTTGATGGCTAGCAGCAGCAAGAATCGCCTTCGTCGGTCACTTCCATTAACCTACGCTGCTGGCACGGTCGCACGACCATACTGTTTTGAACTCTTTGCATTCATGTTAATTTATACAGAATCTTTTACTGCTATTTTCCTGGTGTCAGTAGTTGACATCTTTTTTAACTTGGCCTCTAGTAGGTGTTGATAAGTTTATCGGCTTTTCTTCTGAAGAAAGAGCAATAGATAAGGCAGAATGAAGGGCATCAGCTTTCTTTTACTTTCACATGCTTGAAATGCAATATCACAGAAGCCATCCAACACAGACTTCTCATACGGTAATATATTACATTATTGCTTCCTGCACCCAGCATTTTCAAAACTGGGCTACTAGATCTGCACTGGCATGTTCAAAGTTGTAGTTATCCACAGATCTCATTTAACTTCAGCATCTGCATTGAAAACTGGACATTTTGCAGATCAAGCCCCCTAATACTAATACCTGAAACTCTTACAATTTCTCATACGGACATAAAATAAGAACCCTTCTTTGCCAACTTTCCTTCTTCCTAGTGCAATGACACATACTCCGTATTTCTTTAAAATCAGGCTCAGGCTCTTAACCCCAGCTGGACTGAAAGTCTTTGAAGAATGAATACATCTCAAACTAACATCGAGTTAGAGAGCCAGAGCCATTATAACACAGCACTGCCAGTAACACCTCGCTGAACGTGTCTTCATTACCTTGTGCTAGCAGCTTTCTATCTCAGCAATAAACGTCGTGAAAAGTGTCATATTCTTGTCATGTTGTCCCAGGAGTTCCTGCTTGAGGTATAGAAAAGTGCACACTCTGCAGGGAAGCCTTGTAACAGTAGCACAAATCAATGCACTGTGCAACATACGGGTCATCTGATAGCAGGAGCAAGAACTCAGTATTAGGAGAACGAACCCAGTCACGAGCTTTCCACCCAAAGGGAAGTTATTGATTACTTCAGGACTATTTTTGAATCATCCAACGGTTCCAATATCAGGGTCTTCAGATTCCTTCGGGATGAAATTTCACTATACCATCACACTGGAGAACGCTCCTCATATATCCACTTCCTGTGGTACTCCCAAAATTCAATAGAAGCAACATGCCACTGTGCTTGGGCCAATGAATAAGCAATAACCTACTTTGTCCTTTTGTATTTGCCAGAAACTCATCAAATCCACTCCAGCAGCGGAATTTCGGATAATCGTCCTTTCTTTCTATGCTAGACTTCCTCATCCCTTCAGTAGCTACCAACCTTCATGGCACCTGTTTTAACAACTGCAGGACCAACTTTGTATGAAATCTGAGCTATGTCTTTTCCTGGTCAACCCATTTCGCCTTCTGTATTCTCACCAAATGTACCCTCTAGTTCAAATATAATGTTTACAGTGGAGGAAAAAACCAAACCCACAGAAAAGCCCCATTGATGTTTCTACTGTGGATGTAAATAGCATGCAATGCAAAAATAAACCATTTTGAAACATTTTTGTTTCTTCTGTGGACAAATTTTATAAATACCATCCATTTCTCTCCTAGTGCAGGAGGGTATGTGGAAAGTTATACGCAAACTAAGAAATCAATAGAACTGAATAAAAATTTTCATTCTACGAAAAAGCTAAGATGTGCTGAAAGTGCTAAAAAACGAACCGAACCTCCTCTGAATTTCAAAGTAAACTGTATTTTCCACACAATATTGCTCATTAGGCTTTCAAGTACTATAATCAAATCATTGTATTTTCCCCGACAACGTTTTTATCTTAAGCTTATGTTTGACAGATGTTATCCCTGATCGTGCAAAAAACTTATTGGGTAGATTGCTTACTCTTGGATGTAGCCTCCCGGCTGTGAATAGGACTATTCAGAGCAAAACACATCGCCCTCACATCGCCCATTTTCTTGTTTAGTAAATAAGTAGGTTTACCTAAAACCCAGACTATCCTAAAGCCAACCAGAACATCACCCTAAAATTAACACTTTGCTCTATCACTGATGCCTACAGCCGAGAGCTTAAGGGGAACAAGTACACCAGTGACAAAAAGCCTGCTCCCCTACTGAAGCTGATGAAGAAATTCTCCCCAACCGCCCTGAGAGAGAAACCCGCTGCAAACTCAAAGTGTCCACAGCATTTGTTTCCAGCGTGAACTGAAATATCACAGTTACATGAATTTGTTGCTGAAGTGAAGCTTGAGAAAAGGTGGGGGTTTTTTTCCTTTTTTTTTTCAACCCCTATTAAGGCTCTGCTTTCCTGCACAGCTGCAGCAAACTTGGGTTGTGTTACTTCTTACCCGTCTCGCAGTAGGGATCACCATCTTCTAAGTGGAAGACATTATTGCGGATTGGATTATGACAGGCCACACACACGAAACAGGAAACATGCCAAGTTTGTTTCAAAGCATTTATTACTTCCTGTGGGGATTAGAAAAAGTGTTATTAACACATTATTTTGATGTGACGACTAGACTGCGGTGACCACGCTTCTACACTTGATTAGTTTCACAAAGACTTTGTTGCCTACTGCTACTTTGAAAACGGGCTGTGCACGCAATTTCTGCTGACGTTAAACTTTATGAAGTGCTGTATTTATGGTACACCTCCCTATTCGTCAGAAGTAACTTTTCCAGTTTTGGGAGGTTCGCGTACAGTGGGACAGGCGGAGCGACAGATTTATTCCTCTTTTTCATTTTAATTCGCATCTCGCTCAGCGTGGTCCCCTGAATTCAGAAAAATACTATCTCTAATCTCTCCTGGTCTGTGAACAGTTAATCAGAAGACATCACATAGAAAATTATGACTGCTCTGTTCTGTTTTGGAAGATGATATAGTGCCAAATATGACTTGAGAGCTGTGTTGCCAAAGCCCTGCGTGACCAGTTACATAAGGGAACAGACACTTTGCTTTCTGAAGTTAAGCGCTGGCTGGTGAGCTAGCGGGCTCAAATTAGCAACGTTAAGTAGGATACGCATCTTGCTATTGACATTCCCACAGGGAATATTTCCGTACTTCAGACCTGAGACCGCATGCTAGCCTACCACTGTGTTCCTGAGTATTCAGCTTAGCTAAGGATGCTAGGATTATTTTTTTTTCCTTGAATTCTGTAAAAACCCCCAATGGAAAGCATTTTGCTCAGAAAAGCCTAACAGCTACAGAACAGGAGCTGAACTTGGAAAAGCAAAGGAGGCTATAGAGCACCTTTGCTCAAACAGGGTCAGAAAACGACTGAAAAGGGCCAGTATTAGAGGAGGAAAAAAAACATACGCTGTATGTGACGGGAATTGAAAAAGTGTGTCAAGAGTAAATTTGCAGGAACGCAAACTGGGCCAGATAAGAGGGAAATTCCTTACTGAGAAGTGTTGAACGGCATAGTTAACGCTGCCATTAAAAAACGCGCGCGCTGCGGGTCACTTACGCCAAGGATCTTCCTCTGGCACCGCGAGCACTCGGGGGCGAAGAACTTCTCGTAGCAGCCCTCGCAGTACAGCGCTCCCTTCTCCTCCACAAACCCGATGTAGGCCATGGAGGTCTTGCAGTGGGCACAGTTGAACTCCTCTGGGTGCCACGACTTCCCCAAAGCCACCAAGAAGGGTCCCCTGGTGAGGAAGAAGAGAGTAGTCAAGAAAATCAGCCTGCGTGGACTTGCCTGCAGTATCTCCGGGACGTTATTACAGAGCTTGCAAACTTGCTCTGCTCCATCCCTCTGCCCTGCTACAGGCTCTGAAAAAGCATCAGTGATGCCTGGTTCCCCCGCGTCCTCCCAGGAACACCGGACCGCAACGAAAACTAACACTTTTTGCTTCACGGCATTTCAAAAAAAATCTTATTTTAGAATTGCATAAAATATAGTGAGGAAGTAGCTGCTGCCAAAAAGGAAAAAAAAAAAAAAAAAAAAAAGCGCTCCCTATATACCCAACTACATCCATCTCCTGCAAAGAGATATTTGACTCAGTCATACCACCAGCTCTTTCAGCTTGCATTCATATCAAGGCCACAAACGTTAAAGCAAATGCAACTCCGTTAAAAGCCGAAACTGTCAGTTTTCTTGCTCTTTTTTTCCTCAATTCCCCTCAGAGGCTAGTTAAAGTAGGCACATTTTGTTCAGTGGGGGGAATCTCCTCCCATTTCTTGATTATTTGGAAATTTGGAAACACAAAATACCAACACCTTTCTAACCTTTGCCTGGCTAATGCCGCAAGGTTAACGGACGAGACAAAACTGTCCATTTATAAGTGAATAAAAATTTGTCAGTTTGTAACCCAGAAATCTCTTGCAAATGCCGTTATATCAGTTTTCATTTGAAAGCATATTCAACATGTTAATTTGCTAATTTCTTTAATTAACGCATTTATTTTAATGAGGCGCCTCCTAGGTGCCCGCAATCCTTAACCCTTCAGCATTCAGGTTTCCGGAGGAGAACTTTGTGGTTCAAGTTCATCTCTCTCTCCAGATTTCCCACTTTTGCAGCACCAAGAAAGATGGTCATTCTTTTTACGATGTGTTGCTTTTGTCTGAGCTAATGTTTCACTGCAAAAAAAGTCAACCCCCTCCCCCCCCCCCCCAAAAAAAACCCCTAGTATCGCCACCCTCTTTGCTAAATGTTTCTTGGAAGCGGAGCAAGGAACAGGAACGTTCTCGCTAAGATAAGATTGAACGTATGCAGCGTAAGACGGTTTCTCCCACGCTGGAGGAAGCCGCCGGCCCCGGTCCGTCTGCCAGCGGACGCCCGAGTCGTGCAAACGCTGCCCGAAGCCGACACAGCTGCGCCAGCCCCTCTCTACACCGGAGCCCCCGCGGCTGCGTACCGATGAAACAACGCAGCTCCTCGAGGTGTCCCATCAGCGCACCCGCTCTCCGCACGCGCGGGCTGGCAAGAATGCTTTTTAAATACAGCTTTGCTCTTAATCAGGCCCCGGTTTAAACATGTCAACCCGACGCCGTAGCTTAATGATGCCAGCGGCTTAAAAGCTGCCTGAAAGCATGACGGGAGGGTTGCGGTGGAGGGGGGAACCACCTGCCACGTCAAATACACTAAAGCACAATACTCAGCACTCGGAGGTGTTCCTGGTCTCTGCATGTTTTTGAGACCAAAATGATGGTTTCTGGTAATGAGAGGTATTTAATTGCTGTATTCATATGAAAAGGAATTTAAAGCCCCGGTCTGAATAAGGGGGCCGCCCGCCCGCCCGCAGTCCAGCAACCTGACGGGAAGTTGCTAGGGCGGGAAATGCGAGGAAGACAGCCACAGGTGGCTTCATCCCTCATTCCCCCTTTACAAAACGCACGCCTTTTTGTCAACTAGAGCAGATTTTAAAGATGGCACTAGAAAAACCTTATGCAAAAAAAAAAAAAAGAAAAGAAAAGAAAAAAGGATGATCCAACTAGCCACAGTTTGCTGCCAAGGGGCCGTCCTCCTAGGCTACTTTGAAACGCCGAGCATTTCGGACCCAATTTCTGACATCGCTGCAGTTCACATGTGCTCACAGGACCCGAGCTCTCAGATGGGCACAGAAAAGCAGTATTTCTTTTTGCAGATTCTGATGTATTTATATCAGTATTACAGACTCTTATGCCCCAAAGGATCGCCATAAATCTGGCAGTCACATACAAAATCTGGGCCCCACCTGCAGCAAAGATACGGGGGCAATTTGGAAGGGGAAGTAAATGACATACATGGAAAAGCAGCATAATTTCACTGTTTTTCCACTTTTAACTAACTATAACTTTATCGAGACGCTCATGCTGTGTTAGGATGGCAATAATCTAACTTCTCACGCGGCTTGTCTTACAATAGCAAGCCAGAACTCAAATTTGGCGGTAGAGAGATCAAAAGGATTTCCACATCTGCCGAGTAAGACAATCGCTGTGCAGTTAACTGTACAACAGTCTAAACTCTGGGAAAGCTTCTTTTTCTGCTCACTTCAAAGCCCCATGACATGCAAGTTTTACACAGGAGATGGTTATGGGAAGCACCATTCGTTACTCTTTTTCCTTTGCGCCCTTTCAATGCTTAGCTCTGTGAGAAGATGTCAAAACCAAATCATCATTCACGCACAGACATGCAAAAGAATACGAAGCAGGGGCTGCGCGTTTGGCTCTCAAGGTGAGGCCCAGGTCTGTATCGCGGCATCCAGAGACTGCCTGAGAACCAGAAATCTCCATCGGGAAATGCTGGTTACAAGTCTGTCAGACCCTCCCAGCAGACACATCCCAGGAAATTTAGCTTGCCTGCAGTTTTGATGCTTACTTAATGAAGCTTTGGAAAGCCTGAGATTTTCAGACAATCAGTAATTACAGAAGTACTAAAAAAGTTATGTCTCAAAGAAACAGTTTTGGCTCAACAAGCCACGGTTATTCAATGCCTTAGCGCAAAGTAACCCACGCCACAATGCGTTTTGGCTTCCAAACAGGTGTACAGTGCAATGTCACTTGATCCTCCTCCTACCTTTTCATAGGTAACGCTACCACCAAGGGCTTGAACTGTAATTATGCTAAAACTTGAACTCTAAACGCTGTCACAGTCTCCCAGATCCACTGCGTGCTGTGAACATTAGGCATGCTTGGTATCGATGAACGCATGTCAGCTCATCCCGAAATGGGACAATGCTCGCTCTGAATAATTGAGGCGGCATTTAGCATTTGAAGAAATGTAAGGATTTAACCACTAACAACAATTTAAAGACAAGTCAGACATGCGTAAAGGTTACTTTTCGTGAGGCGTCACTTACAATAGGCGAGAGCGGTTCAAGCTTTGTTAAGCATGGCTCCCTATTTTCCCCACGCAACGGAGGTGCTCCAAGGACCAGGCATTCCCCAATTACAGGGCCCACCTCCCGTTTCATGGGGATCAAACTGCGGGAATCGCAGCAAGTGATTTAAGGACTGGGAAGAGAGGTTAGCTGCTCCCAAGTGATCCGTGCTCTACGGCCTGAGGTCCAAAGGCACGGAGCTGCAAGGGGGTGCAGATCATGGCTTTTTACTACCTTGACATATTTAACGGAGACAGGAAAAGCTCTTCCAAAATATCACAGACCAGTTACCAAAGAGTCACCTAAAATTAACCTGATGTCAACTGAAAGGCCATGGCGAAAAGGCTGATTGCCTATGACACGGAGTGAAATTTGTACATGTCTTGGAGCCCATCAATTTTTAAAGTTCATTTTTCTAACCAAATAAGTCTCTTTTCTTTAACCTTGGTGGAACACGGTGCAGGGTCTCTTATTCTGTTCAATGAAAACACGGGACATAAACGAATACAAAGAAATATTACAGTGCATCACTTTCCCCTGGTAGTTCAACAACACAGAAAACCAACCCCTTTTCTCTCTCTCTCTCTCTCTCTCTCTCTCTCTTTTTTTTAACTGAACAAGCAAAGAAGAAAACATCTTAAAAATAATACATTCTTCCACTAATTTCAGGAAATCTCTGTTTTAGGGAGGAGATGAAATGCAAGGTAAATGAAGATCAGGATGACTTACATGAAATGTGACGATTGCTCCTTGGATGAGACAATTGCCATGAATTCTCAGAAATCATTGCCTGAGCAACATAACCCAGATTCATTTTTTTCCTCCATGCGAAATGAAATTCTGGCTAAAATTAGGATGTCTTAGATGCTCAGCAGAGTTTAACTGAACTACCTCAATTTGGCCAAATTGTTTTTGTTTAGTGTCTTTTTTTTAAATCTTTTCCCTCCACGTTACCCAAGTCAAGGACACTATCTAGCATAAAAAGCAAATACCAGAAACCTGAAAATACCCTGAAACATTTAAAATCCATCATCTTAGGAAATTTTTATTAATACAGCCCCAGCAATTGTTAAAACTGTGCTCCTTGCATTTCTTACGTGGACGGGGCCTGCTACCTTTCTTCCTCTTCTCCTTCAGACATTCTGGCTTAGAGACAGATATTTGTGACTACTTATTCTTTGTTTAATTTCCATGTATCCTCTCATTTGTTTCCCATTTGCTGATCTTCTCAATTTTATTGGAGTAGGCTGAAAACTAGCTTGCTTAATTGCCTTAGGCTTTACTTTTGCTCTACTCCAGCCAACTTTCCGACCCGCTGTCAAACACGTTGCAAGGCTGCGACCGCTCGGAGCTTGCGGTGGTTCCCGCCACCGCTCGCTCTGCTGCTAGGAAAGCCACGCACGGAAAGGGGGTCGTGCTTTACTGCAACGGAGCCGTAAAACACTCGCGACAAAAGGAGTCAAGAACCAGGGAAACAAAACAAAGCTCTGCTGTCCTGCAGGACGAGCAGCCCACCAACCTAATGACTTGGTTGCAGTGGGCGCACATTGGGGTGCGCTTTCCCGCCGGGATATGCTCTGCCCTCTGAACCAACGTGTCCGGCTCCGGGAGCGGAGGTGCCGTCGCGAGCTTGTCGCTTGGGGCGGCGGCGGCGGCCGCCGGCGGTTTGGTGCTGTTGGATGTCCACCCGCTTGCAGGGGCTGCGGAAAGAACGGCAAAAGCAGTTAGGAGAGCAGCTTTCAGGAGCGAGTACGTTGTTCTGAAATAGGAGCAACGGGCAAAAATTTGTCTACCGTCTTTGTCCCGTGTGGTGTACGCTTGCCTACTTAAAGCAAATAATTAAAAGGTACCTGCTGCCCCTCCCCAGCAAGAGTGTCTGACCTACTCTACGAAACGTCCCTGAAATAAGGCAACGTGCTTTTGGCTAACTTGCAGAAGCAGTGGACAAATTTCAACATATTCGAGAGGTCAGGGGAAGGAACCTACAACCTGTGAAGGTGTTATTTTGCCTTCGATGCAAAAGCCGAAGCCAGGAACATAAATGCTTGCACAGAGACAAGAGAGTGTGACGTACTGGCTCAAAGTATTTTAGCGTGAGTACAATGGATCACACTCACCTAACTAACAGCTTCAACAAGAGCTGTTCGATAAACACGCGCAATACAACATGTACAGGAACTTAAAATACATATACGGAAAACATATTTCTAAACCAAATTTAAACACTGGCCTAGACCACTAAATATTGCCAACGCGAAGCATTCCCAAGGCAACGTTCACATCCGCTTCAGAGAAGTTATGACACTGACATAAAACCCTGACGTTTATCGGAAACGTATACATCCCCGCGCTTTCGTTTGTGTTCTGGCTCTTCGGGCGGCAGGGAAGACTGTGAGCTTGTACAGAGCACAAAAAACGCATGTACAAAAACGAAATGCACAGATGATACTGTTACCAAGGGCGATGAGAAAAAACAAACACTCCTCTGCTTTTCCCTCTCCTCTATTGATATCTGGACCTTGGTAACGTGCAAGCCACAGCAACACAAGCTTATGGAAGTATTTATTCCTGTCAAGTGGAGGATCCTTTCTCTTCTTCAAGTGCTCTGAAGAAACACGTTTCCACAGCCTTTTACTTGCACCCACAGGCAAGAGAAATCAGGACTGCTTATTCCGCGCCCTGGCCTCAGCGCAGCCATACCGAACCTCGTATATCAAAAAGCGAAACAAAGATCAGAGAGAAGAAACAACCACGCAACGATCGCGTCCTGCAGCTCCCTAATGCGAGGTCACGGCAGCCGCCTGCAGTTTTGCCAAGACTTTTTACTGAAAGTGAAGCTTGCGGAGCCATGAATCTTCATGCTCGTCCTCCTCTCGCATCTTTCATCTCAGGAAAACAAACAAACAAACACAAACCATCCTACTCATCTCCCTAACGCAAGGGCTGATCAACCTCCACCCCGCAGAAAAGTTGCAAGTAAAACGCCGCGCTCCCTGCTTGAACGGAAGCGGCACAGGCGCTCGCAGAGAGAGTCCGTCCAAGGAACGCTGAAAAGAGAAAACCCAAAGGAAACTGCAAAACCCTGTTAGTTGCAAAAGCGAGAGCGCCACACGCTAGACAATTTATTCTACCCAGTCCAGTGAACTCGATCCCTCTGTGCACATTCGTGGCCTAAAGCAGTAGAGCTGGAAGAGAAATCCTGTTTAACACCACTGCTTTTACACTACAATTAGGCTCAGTATTAATCCACTCGTGTCATACCTACTTCTACCTAGTCTTTCTCCATACGAAGAAGCAATTCAGTTGCACACGTTTTCTGTCTGATTAACTGGCTGGTTTGTCAACTTTTCTAGAATCAGGTCATTTCAAGGCTGACGTATTCTTGGATCCCTTCCAGTATCTGTTGTAGCAGAAAGTATACCAGTTCATCAGCTCTCTTGTTTTAATATGGGCCTATTGTTTATACATAATGCAGAGTAAATCAATGTACAATATCTTGAAATATAATGTCGGTACTGCCGAGCAGTATTTAGTATTATAGAAGTAGTTAGAAACATGCACCTCTAAAGCACTTGATCTTGAACAAGTCACTCTGCTACTGTAGTTAATGTACGTTATAAATGCTAAACTGAAAACGTAGGAACAGATAAAAACGGAAAAAGGTGTCAGAAAGGCTTTGAAGACCTGAACAAAAGCATTTCTGATTAACAGCACTTCACTTCACTATCATCACATACAGCCTCCTAATTTTCAGGTCCTATTTCACGAGAAGACAAAAGTACACAGCAAAACCAAACTGGTTTGGAGACCATTTTCTCCATAAATCAAACTGCAGCACAGCTTCTAGTATACTGCCAACTTGTGTTTGAGTTACCTGCTGGCTCCCAAACACTCCAGCTAGCTCTTCTTTGCAGGGCAGCTAAAAAAGCCTTTCTGCTTGCTAGAAAAAAGACAAAAGGACAAACACCACAATATTCCCTTTTCCTTTGATCTCACTACCGCTTTTATTAATGCCGTTTTTATGAATGACGCTTTTCTGAACGCTGCCCAACTTCACAGTTGCTGCTGGCCAGGAAGAGGATTTCTTTACATAAACTCGCTCTCAATATTGTTAGAAAATCTGACAGTCATCCCTGAGCTACTCAAAAAAAGGGAGAGGAAGAGAAGCTGAGGAATAACCGGGAACTAACTCTGGTCTGCTGGTGATCCTCCACGAAAACGGAGGTTCTCTCTCGGAAGGAGCCACGCTACAACACGCACCACTCGCTGCCGCGTTAAGCGAGAGCTGTGGCCCAAGCGAAAGCCCGCGGGGCGCTGAGGGTTGAGGCGAGCGGTACGTCCTTCGGCGTTCGCCGCGCGGGCCGATCTGCTCCCACCCAAGCCCAACCCAAGGCTGCCTTTCAGCAGATGCAGGACCCCCCGCGAGATCCCAGCCGCGACGCAACCCCAGCACTGCTGCCGGGTACTCCGGGGAAGAGCAAACAAGCCCTAAGCCTTCAGATACTTCTATATTTACCACCAATGTTTTTGGCTACGGGGCTAAAAATAAGTTTTAAGAGGCTTTTTGACCGCCATTTATAAATCTATGTCACCATTTGGTCTACTCTGGTGGGAATAATATCTACCAGATGCCATCGGCCGTTGAGAATCAAGCCAGAAAAAGCTGCTTTCTGCTCAAGAAGCCTTGAAAAGCAGGATCTTAAAGCATTTCATGAAATGCTCTCGCCTCCCCTCCCTCGAGGCCCGTATAAAGCCAGAAAGTTGCATGCCAACGCTCACAGTTTGTCCGCCCAGCGTTCTGTCAAGGGGCGTTTTTCTCTTTGCTGGTATTCGCATTAAGGACCTTTTTGGTGTTGTGCAGTATTATTCCCCTATTATTCCCCAAGAGTGGGCTCAAATTGCATTCAATTTATTTTTTTTTCCCCACCTAAAGAAGAGAAGATGAGTTGGTCTACTTCCATCACCTTCGACCCACGCTCTTATCAATGTAGTTTTAAGAAAATATACCAGTGAAGTCTACTAACAGGTACTGCAGTACATTTACTACACTGGTTTCTTCGGACATCTTTCCATTTCTGAGCACTTGGTTTGCCTCAACCTTTTATGTGCCTGATCTGCATCTGAACACCAAACTGAGGACAGTTTTTAGTCCCCACTGTATCCTTCCACAGGCCAGAAACAAGCCTTTGATGTAATTTTAGCAAAGGTTCATTACTCCCACTGTGGACCAATGATCACTATTTTTTTTTCTTTTAATGCTGTCAGCTATCTTCTTGCAATCTATACGGATTCTCAATGCATTTTCCCCATTATCCCACCTCAAGCAGCTAAAGAATCTCAAATATTAGACCACTTCTTTTCCATAGCGAACACTGATGTTTCCCAACTAGACCTTTTCGTTAAAAAGCAATCAGTACCTGTATCAGTGAAGATTTTGTAGTTTACCAAGAGGAAGTGGATACTATTTTTCTCCTCGCTTCTATTCCCTTGTAAACCTTTAAAATCAAATCAGATTCTCAGCAAAAGTTTTACTGTGTGGAAGTCTAATTTCTTTTACTAATTTACACTTTTGGCTACTTCAGCAGATTTGCCAGCCCTGAAACACAACCACATGGTTTAAAGACAAAAAAAAAAAAAAGGGGGGGCCCTGAAAACTTAGGCAATTTTTTTTTTCCTTCCAGTGAGAAGCTTTTACCATGGCACACAAGTAAGAACCAGGAAGGCACAAATTCTTGCACTACGCCTAAGCAAAGACCTCTCAACTCTGATGACGAGTTCGAGTCCTCCTGCGGGTTTGTGCTTTACACTTTGCTGTTTGCGTTCTCCCTCCGCTGCCAAGCATAAACAAACAGGGCGGTTTCAACAACGCAAAGACAAAATGACCGCAGGCGGGCTGGAGAAGGGAGAAATACCGTGCTTTTGGAGCAGGCGACAGCTCTGCTCTCGCGGAGGGCCTGAGAAGGCGGCCAGGTACGGGAGGTTTGGTGAGGCGCAGGCACGTCTTTAACTTTGGATGATGCTGAAAGAGGGGAAGGGAAAGGACACAGCTCTAGCTGCCTCCCAACACATCCGACCTCGTGTTTGCTGGGCTCCGACTTGCTCCTACGAAACGGCAGAGAGCACAGCAGCTTTCGCCGGCGCTGGGGAAGGGTTAGAAACCCTACGGGGAGCTATTCCCCCCGCCCCGAGCGGCCGCTGAGGGTCGGGTTCGTGCAAGCCAGGAAGAGACCTCCGCGGCCAAACGTCAGGTTTCTGCAGGCTTCGCTCCACCTTCGCTCTCTTTAATGAAGCCTGCTGCAGCACTGCTGATTTCCACCGGCGTACTGTCACGGCTAGCTTTGCTAAAACGAAAAAAAAAAAAAAAAAAAAAACGCCGCGTACCTGATTATTAACTTTCTACTTTATTAGGTTTAAGTTTAGCAAAGCCTTCGTGTTTACTTTTACTAAACTCCTTGGTATGGCTAGTTTAATATTTAACAGGGCTTTAGGCACGGCAAAGAACCGGCTTTTTCTTTTTAAAAACCCCAGTGTGACTTTGCCCTTGTTACCCTAACAATAGCCTGTTCCATCGCTGAACACATGGATAACTACAAACACTGGGGAAAGGCTTTCAAGACAAAGGGAGCAAGGCGGATACGCGGCGGTGCCAAAGTCACTCTGACAGAGGCTCTCTGGTGCATAGCAACAATACAACAGCCTG